CCCCAAAACCCCAAAACCCCAAAACCCCATTGGATAAAATAATTTTAAATTCTGAAGTTAACATTATCTCAATAATATATTATATAATAGTAATGGGGAAAAAGGCAAAGGACAAGAGAGATATTTATTATAGAAAAGCAAAAGAAGAGGGCTATAGAGCAAGATCAGCTTATAAACTACTTTAAATAGATGAGGAGTTTAATATTTTTGAGAATGTTGATAGAGTCGTTGATTTATGTGCCGCTCCTGGCTCATGGTCTTAGGTGATTTCCAAGAGACTAAAGGAGAAAGGACTAGACATAATTAACGAAAAGAGAATTATATCTGTTGATCTGTTTGAAATGGCTCCCATTGAGGGGTGCACAATAGTAAAAGGGGATATAACTAGAGAGAAAACTGTACAGCAAATTCAGGAAATATTCAAAGATTAGGAGACATAATTGGTTGTTAGTGATGGGGCTCCAGATATTCTTGGGGATCATGATTTTGATTAATATATCTAGCATCAATTAGTATTAGCTGCCTTGAATATTGCCATTAGGCTTCTCTAGCCAGGTGGCACTTTTGTTGCCAAAGTATTCAGAGGAAAGGATATCAATCTTCTTCACAGATAAATAAAAATGCTATTTAGAGATGTATACTGCTCAAAGCCAAAATGCTCAAGAAATTCCAGTATTGAAGGGTTTGTTGTTGGCAAATTTTTTATTGGCAAAGAAGCTATTGGACTAACAAGTGAGAGACTTAATTTATGGGACGCTTTGACTACTATTAATCATCTTAAGAATTTTGAAAAAATATATTATCAAGAAGAAGAGGAAAAAATTGAAGATATTATTCCATTTGTTGCTTGTGGAAAAAATGAAGAGTTTGATGCTGATATGAACTATTCATTAAAAACTGTTGTTACAACTCATAAGAAAGAAGATGAAAAACAATAAGAAGGATAAGAAGAGTATAAATATATAGAACCAAGATAAAAACCTATCGACCCACCATATAAAGCTTTTCTTGCAAAAAGAAATGAATTAAATAATAATTAATGATTAGATAATGATAATTTGAGATTTAGTGTAAGGGGTTTTGGGGTTTTGGGG